AGGTGGGAACTGAACAATGAGAACACTTGGACATAGGAAGGGGAACATCACACACTGGGGCCTGTTGTGGGGTTGGGGGAGGGGGGAGGGATAGCATTAGGAGATATACCTAATGGAAATGACGAGTTAATGGGTGCAGCACACCAACATGGCACATGTATATATATGTAACAAACCTGCACGTTGTGCACATGTACCCTAGAACTTAAATTATAATAAAAAAGAAAAAGAAAAAAACAAAAACAAAACAGTGACTGAAAGTAACCAGATAGTATTAGCAGCATTAGTGTCATACAAACACCAATTTGGTGGGCAAGTCTACGATTGCTACTGCTAAACAAACATGCTTATGTTTACCTCTGAATCCAAAGCACTATCAGAGTTCATCACTTAGGAGGAATGAATACCGGGCCCTGATTTACTATTTTCAATAGATCTTCTCCTCTGCCATCCCTATACTGACATCAAAGACATGATGTATGTCATGGTAGGACTCTGAAGTAAGACAACCTAAACTACCACACAATGGAAATCAAGACAGTGCTTTCTTCTATTTTCCCAAAATGAAAATGGTTTTTAGTGGTTATAAATTATAATAATACATGTTCATTACAAAAAATAAAAAATACACAAAAGAATAAGAAAGTAAAACCCACAAAAATCCCAGCACTCAGAGGTAACTATTGATAACATTTTAAAGAACATTCTCCCGCACATTTCTCTATGCATATACACACATCATACATATGTATAATGAGATCATATACACTTGCTTTTAAATTTTTATTTTTTAGACAAAAAATAAAAATAAAAAAATATTTTTTGCCCTGTTACCCAGGCTGGAATGCAGTGGCGTGATCATAGCCCACTGCAGCCTTGACCTCCCAGGCTCAAGTGATCCTCCCACACGGCCTCCCAAGTAGCTGGGACTACCACACATGGCTAATTTTTATTTTATTTTTTTTTTTGTAGAGACGAAGTCTCCCTATGTTGCCCAAGCTGAACTCGAACTTCTACCCTCAAGCAATCCTTCCCGCTTGGCCTCTCTAAGTGTTGAGATTATAGGTGTGAGCCACCACGCCCAGCACACTTGCTTTTTTTAAACTAAAAAAGTCGTAATTGGCCAGGCGCAGGGGCTCATGCTTGCAATGCCAGCAATTTGGGAGGCCGACGCAGGCGGATCACGAGGTGGAGAAATTGAGACTATCCTGGTCAACACGGTGAAACCCTGTATCTACTAAAAATACAAAAATTAGCTGGTATGGTGGTGGGCACCTGTAGTCCCAGCTACTCGGGAGGCTGAGGCAGGAGAATTGCTTGAACCTGGTAGGCAGAGGTTGCAGTGCGCTGAGATCGCACCATTGCATTCTAGCCTGGCGACGGAGCAAGACTCCGTCTCAGAAAAAAAGTTATAATTACCTAAGTCGATAATATTTATTAATATTCAACATAAATGCTCTCTGCCAGGTATATATTAGTTGTCTGGCATACAGTGGGGAGCAGGTGTGGCTTAAAGGACTTTAAAAAGGAAGGAAGACAATTAAACCAATGATAAATTGTGCTGAGCACTCTTGAGAGCAGGAATACAGAGTATCAAAGAGTAATTTATTTATTCCAGGTAGGTGGAGACAAGGAAAATGTCCAGGAAGCAGTGACATTTAAATTGTGGGGAAGGATGAGTAAAACATATAATATGAACTGAAGCAGAAGAGAGTTCTAGGCAAAAGGAATGTCCTGTGGAAGGCCTGGACATACTCAAGGAACTGAAGAAGTTGAAGTTGAGGGAGTGGTGAGAAATGGGGGCAAATATAATGAGATACTCTTGGAAGAGCAAGCAACATGAAGAATCTGGATTCTAATATATGGGAAGTGAGTAGCCACTGAAAGGTTTAAACAAATAAGCGATATAATCAGATTTGTGTTTTAGAAGAATAACTGACTATAATATGGAGGATATACTAGAAAAGGCAATGCTGAAGGCTAAAAATTAGATCTTTAAACAGAGATGTAATTTATCATTTTTAATATTTGCATGGATGTACCATATAGGTTCCATGAGGCCAAGGACTGTCTGTACTCTTCAGTTATCAATTCTAGAGTCCAACACAGTATTTGGCATATAATACATATTTGTTAATTTAAAGATAATTATTAACAATTGTTAACAACAGCATCTGTTACCTTTTACTAAGCACTGACTATATGCCAGGGACTGTGTTAAGTGTATCTTGCATTTCACTCTCCCAACTGTTCTATGAGGTAGAGGTTTTATCATCATTTTATTTTACTAAAGAGGAAACATTAAAGCTCAGAGACTTTTTGTTACTAAGCTAGTTAGTGAGGGAGTGTGATTTCCTACGTTTGGTGACTCCAGAGCCACTTAACTAACCTACAGCTGACTAACTAATAATTTAACCAATTTATGAGCAATGTCCATTTAGGTTATTTCTAACTTTTTGCTATTGTTAATATTATGATGAATCTCTTCAAACATGTCTGATTACTCTTGACTGATTATCTCATTAGCATAAAATCTTAGATGTTGCAATGATGAGCTTCACAACAGGCACATCATATATGATGTTAGATGCATTTGACAAAATTGCTCTCCCAAAAGGCTGTTTCATGTCATACAATTAAAAGTCATATAAGAGAATGCCTGTTTGCTCACCATTACTAACACTGAGTGTTATTGATCTTTGCCAATCCAATGGCCCCCCCACAAAATCTCATTTTAGTTTTAATTTGTATTTATATATGACGATTAGTAAAGTTGATCATCTTTCCATGTTTACAAGTCATTTTAATTTCTTCTTTTATTTCCTGTTCATGTCCTTTGCTCATTTTAATTTTATTTTTAAAATTACTATTTTTTTTACTTCTACGATGGCGTGAGACCATTTTAAGATACTATTTAAATAAATAGTTGTTATATAAATACTGTTTTTTGCATCTTGAATTTTAACTTTTTACATGTCATAAATGTTTGCAAATAATGTGATCTTGGTCATTTGTTTTGGAGTCTCACTATGATTTCCTGGCATATTAAGTCTCGTGCTGTAATGTGAAATCTATTAATCCTTTCTCTATGGGTCTCCTACCTACATCATGATTATAAAAATGCTACCCACATTTTCTTCTAATTTTTTAATATTTTTAATGGTTTTCATTTTGACATTAAATCTAATCTACTTAGAATTTATTTTGATGTAGTAAGTGTAATATGGATCCAATTTATCATAGCCAGCTTACTGGATAGGTAAGGTTTCCAAAGTACATAATAATTGGAAGATGACCCAAAGCACTAAGAGTTGGTCTATTCCTATGGAAATATTTTTTTCTGTCATATAAGATTGAATTTTTCTTCCTCCTACATTTGTGTAGGAATATATAATGTTCCAACTAATTCCCTAGGCAAAAGACAGATAAACAACTCAAATGTGCTGTTTAAATGTAATTGCCTTTGTCCCAATTTACCACTTGTTTTCTAGTATAACGCTAACTAGTAACACTGAATGAAGTATGTTTGTTTTAACTCAGTAAAACGAATTTAAATACTTAAGAATAAGACATTTTAAGCTTTACATTTTAATGAACTAATAGAAGCATATTCTTAAAAACAATACTACCAAAAGTAACCTAGAGAGACTAAGAAAATTTTCTGTATCAACAGTAGAAAAATTACCTTTAAGAACAATTTAGTGAAATTCTGTTTTTAAAAAGTCATTCATTTACACTATAAACGTATTCACTGAAGAAAATATGGAGGATACAGAACACCCTAAAGAAAAATTCTATCATATTGGGCTGTATTTCAATAAAACTCTAATAGACAACTGATAGTAGCATAACAAGATAATAGTTCTGTGTGTAAAACAAAAAGCTTACTTTCATAATTTTGCTGAAAATGATGTGGTAATAGTTAAGCACAATTAGGCCATGTCTCTTTACTTTTTTGTGTGCATTACAATTATCTTTTTCAGTAAGACTTGGATTTCTAGATTTAAATAATCTTTAAATACAACAGGAAATAACAAAGCCTTTATAACTTAAAAAAAACCCATAAAAATGTCTTTACATTGAATGTCTTAGTGAAAGAGCAAATCTATTCAAGGCAAGCAAAAATAACTAGGTCAAATCATACATATAACGAAAATGCAGCTTAGAGTTATTAAAAAAAAACTACTCACAATCATTTTAGACTAAAACACAAACTACAGCCACAGAAATAGATCTAGAAGATCTTTACAGCATTATTGTTGACATAATAAAGAGAAATGACAGCACGCTGGTACTGAATGCTTCTGGAAATATGCATTCAGGACTAAGAAAATAGGTAAGATTTATAGATCATTCTGAGAACCATCTTGCTTCATACTTTTCTGATATTTAAATAATTTCAAAAATACGATAAAATAATTTATTTACCTGACCATTACCAGAAGTTGCCATGTTGATTTCTGCCACTCCTTGACCTTCATTCTGCCGCTCAGCATCATGTGAGCCGGTTTCATGCTTGTTCTGAGATGACCTCTGTTAACATGGAGTTAACATCATTACAAGCAAAAATGGTGTAGGCTTTCTTAGTTCACAGCTTTTTTTCTTTTTTGTTTTAAAGCTCTGAATACGTCAATTATACAGACTGATAAAGGCATGGAACTGCGTGTTACACTTCATAACCTCCAGTATGATTGGCGGTCGACTATCTCGGTAAGAGGAAAGTGAAGTGTGTCCCTTGAGCATTAGAGCTGCACAAGACAAAGGATTTCCTGAGACTCACTGGAATGCCATCCTCTACCAGCTGCGCTCACATTACTATCAGGAACATAACCCAAGTAGAACAAATAACTATCTTTTCTGTAAGGTTACATGATTCTGACAATTAATGGAGCTGTAAATAACAAGAGTTAAACTATTACCTAAGCTTACAAATATCTTCTACTTAGGTATATTTATACACAGAATATATACATATATATGTATATCTTCTAATAAAAGTTAGGTGAAATAAAATGATAGGCTCTTAGAGTCTGATATGAATAAAACCCAAAGCCTTTTCTAATGCAACCACCATCTGTTAACAGGAAATTAAAATGACAGATTATATCCAGTAAAAGCAGTCATTTCAAGATAGATTATCTCTAGTACAAAGCAATCACTGTATTAAAATACCAGCACAAAATTAAAGAAATAAAAGAATTTCTCACTGTCTTTTATAGAAGCACCTATATGCTTGTTCTAGGAAAACAATACCTAAAATAAAAATTATGCATTAAAAATCTGACCTAACAGTGGATAATTAAATAACAGTGATTCCTAATGGAATTTCTTTAAACATCAAGCTTTCCTAGAACATTTTAAAATTGTAACTTAAAAAATTGATTTATATGCAACATTTCCATCAATAAACTAGTATTAGTTATATGCTGGCAAAAGTGAAGTAGCACTCAGTAATCCAGAAATATAAGAATAATTAGTACCATCTGAAAATCATGCTATAGAATTCAATGAAATCCACAAAAATAGATATACATATATAAAGTCAACCTAGTGACAAAATGAATCTAAGACCACAAAGATTTGACATTAACATAAGTGAAGATGTCAATATATTTGAAGAAAATTACTGACCATCTACTAAGTTAGTTACTTGCATTAGATGCTGGGGAATACAGTGCTAGCAAAACTAGACTTTGTTCTATGCTATCTTGGACCTTACAGTTTAGTCAGGGACACTGTCAAATAATGACAGAAATAATAAAGGTAAAATTGACAAATGCTATGAAAGAAGGGTACAAGGTGCTGTAAGTATATATAACGGAGAGAAATGAAATAGTCTGGAGGTTTGGAAGAGCTCTCTTGGGAAGTGCTGTTTGAGTAAAGACTTGAAGAATAAATAGGAGTTAACTAGGCAAAGGGGAAAAGTAGAGGATGAGTGTTCTGGGTAAAACAGATCATATGCAGAGGACCCAGGGTAGGAGGGAGCGTGGCTTGTTTTAGCATGTCAAAGAATCATGGTGTGGATAAAGCACCAAAAATAAGGAGGAAAGTAGAACAAAAAGAATATGGTAAAAAAAAAAAAAAAAATCTGATTTTAATGCCTTTTTCTGTGATTCTTAGATGGTACTCTTGCCTTTTCTACTTATAAGTTATAGTGAGGCCACTGCATGATCGCCCCCATATAATTAATACTAATATATTCATGGAAAAAGTTGCATGTAAATTTATTTTTCAAGTCAAATTTTAAATGGTCTAAGTAGGGAGGAAACATAGGAAAGACCAGTTAGGAGGCTACTGTATTAACTTGTGAGACAGTGGCGCTGTGCACTAGGAAAGCAGTGACAGAGATGAAAGAAGTGGAGACACAGAAGTAAATCTGATTGGATTCACTGACAGATAGGATATGGGGAGTGGAGGAAGAGGTCTGGTGTCGAGTATTACTCCTATGTTCCTTAGCTCACACAATTCAATAATGATGGTGCTACTCACAGAGATAGGTAATACTGAGGAAGGATGAGGGATTTTTGTTGGAAGGTGGGGTAGTAAAGAGTGCTTAGGAGGAGCAGATTATTAATTATGTGTTGAATGTGTTGAGTAATATCCAAGTGCCTTTTTTTTTTTGAGATGGAGTCTTGCCCTGTCACCTAGGCTGGAGTACAATGGCGTGATCTCAGATCACTGCAACCTCCACTTCCCTGGTTCAAACGATTCTCCTGCTTCAGCCTCCCAAGTAGCTGTGATTACAGTTGCTCGACACCATGCCCAGCTAATTTTTGTATTTTTAGTAGAGATGGGGTTTCACTGTTTTGGCTAGGCTGGTATCGAACTCCTGACCTCCTGATCCATCCCCATCAGCCTCCCAAAGTGCTGGGATTACAGGCATGAGCCACTGCACCCGGTCTTAAAGTGCCTCTGACGTGACTCAGTGAGGATGTAGAGCTGACATAGAGATTTAGCATAGAGCTCAGGGCTAGAAAAATATATTTGATAGCCATCAGCATATAGATGGTCAGTGAAACCCTAAGCATAAATGACACTGCTTAGGAAGAGAAGATATAGAGAGAAAAGAAAAATAGGTCTTAGGAAATACCCTTAATTAATGTCCAGGAACATGAGTCTATAAAGGCCAGAGAGGCTGGGCACAGTGGCTCACGCCTGTAATCCTAGCACTTAGGGAGGCTGAGGCAGGAAGACCTTGAGCCTAGGAGTTTGAGGTTACAGTGAGCTATGACGGCGCCACTGCATTCCAGCCTGGGCGAGACTGAGACCCTGTCTCAAAACAAACAAACAAACAAACAAACAAAACCAGACAAGTGGAAGAAACCAGAAATGTGACTGATGATGTTGATGGATGACGCATATGGTAACATTAAAAAAAAACACTAATGTTTACTATGTACTAATCACTTAGCACTTATTGATTTATTTAATCTTCAAACTAACCCTATGAAGTATTATTATCCCCATTTTATTTATTTATTTTTTGAGATGGAGTCTTGCTCTGTTGCCCAGGCTGGAGTGCAGTGGCACAATCTCAGCTCACTGCAACCTCCACCTCTCGGGTTCAAGCAATTCTTGTGCCTCAGCCTCCCGAGTAGCTGGGATTACAGGTGCCCACCACCATGCCTGGCTATTTTTTGTATTTTTAGTAGAGACAGGGTTTGACCATGTTGGCCAGGTTGGTCTTGAACTCCTGACCTCAAGTGATCTGTCCACCTCAGTTTCCCAAACTGCTGGGATTATAGGCATGAGTCACCGTGCCCAGCCATTATCCCCATTTTACAGATAAAGAGATGGAGGTGCAGAGAACGTTAAGTAACTTGCTTTCAGTCACATATCTAGTAAATGGCAGAGTCAGAGCTGAAATCGCAACTCAGGCAATTCCAAGCCAGACTACCATTTAACATTTACTATCTTCATTTTCTTTCCTCTTTCCTAATCACTTCTCTTTATTCTTTCACTGATCCTAGGTTACAGGCCTGCCTGTACTCTTTGATACACTGAAGACAAAAGAAGTGTGGTTGCTCACTATTATGAAAGATTAATTCTAACTAGTTTCCTCATTTCCATAGTTGCTTTACAACTTCTTCAAGGTTTTCTACTCTAGGTAATAGAACTGGAAAAAATTTTTGGTGAGGTATTTAAATATCACAAAATCCATCCATTTTAAGTGTTCGATTAAATGACTTTTAGATTTATCAAGCACAGCTGTAATCCAGGTTTAGAACATTTTCATCATTCCAATAAAATTCCTGCTGTCCATTTACAGTTAATCCTCATTCCCACTTATAGTCAGACAACCACTAATGTACTTTTTCTCTTTAGAAACTTTGCCTTTACCGGACATTTAATACAAATGGACTTACGTCTCTGGCTTATTTTACTTAGCATGCTCTGGAGGTTCATTCATGTTATAAATTCTGCATCAGTAACTTACTTTTAATTGCTGAATAATATTCCACTGAAGAGATATAACACATTTGGTGTATTCATTCACTGGTTGATACACATTTGCACTGTTTCTACTTTGAAGCTGTTATGAAAAAATGCTGCTAGTGAACAAACATACAAGTCAAAGTCTTTGTGTACACATATATTTTCATTTCTCTTGGCTAGATACCTAGGAGTAAGACTGCTGAATCACATAACTCTATGTTTAATATTTTGAGGAATCACTCAACTGTTTTAAAATGGTGGCTGTACTATTTAAATTCCCATCAGCAATGAGGGACCCTGTTTCTCCACATCTTCATCAATGCTTATCATTGCCTTTATGATTAAAGCCATCATAATGGGTGTGAAGCAGTATCTCACTTGAGCTTTGATTTGCATTTCAAATCAAAGCTCAAGTGAGATACTGCAATGATTGAGTATATTTTCATGTACTTATTTGCCATTCCTGCATATACCTTCTCTGGTGAAATGCCTATTTAAATATTTTGCCCACTGAAAAGCTAAGTTGTATTTATCTTTATTAATGAGTTGTAAGAATACTGTGACTTTAGTAAGTATTCTTTATTTGCTATTATCTTTTAAGCCACACTGCATTGTCCTCACAGCTCCCATTCCTCCCAATGTATTTGCTTGTCAATAAATAAACTATGTCTAGAAGAACACACAAGAAAGTCATAGCACTGGTTGCCTCACATACCTTTATGTAACTTCTGAGTTTTGAATCATATGTAATAATTACTAGACTTAAATCATGTCCAGTATGTAGATCTTAAACCAGAGTTATAATGCAGGTAGTCCAAAGAAAATGCTATAAGAAATATGCTTCATGATAGAGAAATTATTTGGCAGAAGCTTTTCCCTTTCTCATATCTACTGCTCTATGAACTAATTTGCAAGTGTCCAATCCCCAATTTTCTCCATCTTCTAGATTCTCCCTCTAACTTACATTAGAATGACAAGAATGCAATAAACAAACCACAAACAGCAAAACTGTAAAAAGTGGTTTTGTTCTTTCTTAAATGTGAAATGGCACCTTCCTTTGGTTTACATTTATAAACTATCAGAATAATGCAACTGATATAACTATTATCATAACAAAAGGAAGCAATAAGAGATTGGATCATAGTAGCAGACAGTCTGCCCTAAATCCAATAATATGAATAAAAAGTTTTGTACAGATACAAGAGGCACAAACAAGTTTCCAACCTGAAAGAAACTTGTAACAGTAATGGAAAATGAGGATTACTATTAATAAATGGTAGTACAATGAAATTCAAGGTGAACGGCATTAAATAAAATAGAGGGCTAATGTATATTATAATACAAATAAAATAATCAACTAGAAAAAATGTGACTATTGATTTAGAGTATCAAAACCTGTCAAATGTAGCAAAAGAATAATAATCAGAATACAAGAAAGATGGGGGGAAAAGAACTAACTGTAACTAAAGCTATTCAATTAAAAACAAAACACTGCCTGTTTAAAAATAATTTAAAAAACAGACCATAAAGAATTTGCTTAAGGACAAAACACAAGTAAAAACTACAGGAGAAAGCCAAAAGGAGAAAGCCAAAACTACAGGAGAAAGCCCTTTTTCAAAGGGCCAGAAAAAAAGAGTCCGTTGCAAAAATGAACACATTCTTTAAATCGCAAATATTTGACTTATACTGGCTTAAGACAATCATGTTAAACTGCTTTTAGGATTATGACTATCACATTTTACTTAAACTGTCTACTTAGCAAATACATGTTTCTACATATTTCAGACTTAGATGTACTAAATCCAAGTTCCTCAGATATTAAAAAAGCCAGACATGGATGAAAACGTTTTTTGAAAGAACTCTTTCTTTGTAATCTCTTTCAGCTGAGTTTTTGGGGAAGGGGGGATACTCACCCCCTGATCTCCAAATAACCTGCTTTAATGGCTAGTTCTGCATTTTTCAGCTGAATGCTTTATTTCAGTTCCACTTTATTGTTACACAAATTTTTCACTACTTACATTACTTTGACTATTAAATTCTAATCATAGCTGGCAGGTGGTATACTATGATCACCTTCCTTTACAACTTCTTGTTGTCCATGGAGTTAAAGGTTATCTTTACTGTTTTGTTCATTTGGTTTTCTGGGTACATATGACGTATCCTCAGTTTCTCTCCTACTGTGTAAATTTCCTTTCCCTTCAATACATTCAGAAACAGCAAGTATTCTGCTGATTTCATCTTCTTGGAATTAATCTCTCCTGGAATTCTCTCAATAGTTCCAATATGGACTGGTTGCTTTCTCAGGATGTCCCTTCATCTTTACTCTGCAGTTTCGCTCATCTCTTTCTCTTGTATTGTATCACCTGGGTCTTGAGTCCCAAAAATTCATTTTTCTTGCTTTACATTTCAATTTCACTTGAGTATATGCTTTAATAGGTTCCAGAAAAGGGTGCATGAAAAAAACGTATTTTTGAGACTTTGCCTATCTAAAAAGTGTCCTTATTCCACTCTCAGATTTAACACTTTGACTAAAGGCTAGAATGGTGTTATAAAAAATATATCTGGTCTTTGTTCACTTGTACCTGGCAGAGAGCTTCAAATACCCTTGGAATTTCTCAAGCGATAGGGGTGTGTGTTATGCTAATAAGGCAACTCAGGGCAGGCCACCAGATAGCAAGAGGATGGGTGGCTGTCACCATGTGATAAGAGAGTTAGAACTTTGGGCCAGACTGATCTCCAGGGAGAGAAGGAGGCTGGAAATTGAGTTTAATCCTCCTGTGGCCAATTATTTAATCATGCCTACAGAATAAAATTCCAATAAAAATTATGGATACCAAAACTCAGTGTAGCTTTCTGGTTGGTGAATACACTGAAGTACTGGAAAAGGCGGGGCACACTGGCTTACGCCTGTAATCCTAACACTTTGGGAGGCTGAGGTGGGCAGATCACAAGGTCAGGAGTTCGAGACCAGCCTGGCCAATATGGTGAAACCCCATCTCTACTAAAAATACAAAATATTAGCCAGGCGTGGTGGCGGATGCCTATAATCCCAGCTACTAGGGAGGATGAGGCAGGAGAATTGCTTGAACCAGGAGGCGGAGGTTGCAGTGAGCCAAGATCACGCCATTGCACCCCAGCCTGGGCTATAGAGCGAGACTCTGTCTCAAACAAAAACAAAACAATGAAGTGCTGGAAGAGTGACATGCCTAGATTCCACTAGGAGAAAGCATGGAATCTCTGCACCCCCATCCTCATCCCTACCCGCTTCCCTAGACCTTGCCCCATGTGTCTCTTCATTTGGCCATTCTTGATCTGTATCCTTATAAAAAAACAGTTAATCCTAAGTATAGAGCTTTCAGTGAGTTTTGAGCCATTCTAATGAATTAGTGAATGTGAAGGGGTTGTGGGAAGCCTAGAATTTGTAACCCACTGGGCAGAAGTGTGAGTGGTTTGGAGATACCCAACATTTGTGGTTGGCATCTGAGGTGGGAGCAGTCTTGTGAAGGAATCGGCTCTTAACCTGTTGGGGCTGTGCTAACTCTGGGTAGTTAGTCTCAGAATGGAATGGTATCACAGCTTACTCACACAGGGGTGGAATTTATAGACAGCTTGGCAGCAGTCCTGGTGACTTGGGGACACCCAAAACTTGTGGCTCGTGCTTGAAGTGGACAGTCTTGTGATTGACTTTGTCTTTTACTTGTGGAGTTGACTCTAACTCTGGGTAGTTAGGATCAAAACTGAACCCAACTTAAGAGACTTAGTTCCATGTCTCTTCAAAAAAAAAAACAAGGTTTTAAGAAATTGCTACCCTACTTCCCAGTTTCCAGTGTTATTATTTACAAATGTAAAGGCATTTGTATTCCTGTTCCTTTATGTAAAATTTGTTTTCTCTTCCTTCCCTAGAAGGTTTTTAGAATATTCTCTTTATCCCTAGTGATCTGAAATTTCCTCATGATGTGCCTTAGTATAGGATTATTCTCATACATGATGTTAGATACTGGAGAGACCAATTTTTTGGAAAGCTAAGCACCTTGTTAAAATTTCTGTGAAATCTTGATTTATTTCTCTAATTTCCTGTCTCCAGTTTCTCCATTTTCTTTTTAGAACTCCTTTTATTTGGATATTGAACCTTCCTAGAAGGATCTATACTGTCTGGTAGTTAGTGTCCACTCATATTTAAGAGCGGGCTATCTATGAAAAAGTTAAACGAAGCTCTATATCTGAAGAATGGATTTTGTCAACTATAGTTACCCTGTAGGGTGATCTAGGTGGGTTGTTTCGTTGGTGAATTTTTCCATGTAAGTCTCTTTAAGTTTCTTTTCTTGGGTTAGTCACGTTTCTTCTCATTTTTTTTTCTCCCTTTTTAATGTTCTCTCAGCAGAACCAGGGCGAGTCACATTTCTTATAGAAGTTCCTTCCAGAAACTTGCCTGGAGATTATAAGCCTGGATGCTAGCGGGGGTTTCAGCATTCAGTAGGTAAATTTTCATGTAACTCAGTTTTTTGTATGATACCCTCACCTTCAATTAAACAAGGCTGACCCCTAACCAAAGACCCTTTGTTGAGATGGGGAAACGCCGTCTCTACTAAAAAATGCAAAAAAACTAGCCGGGCGAGTTGGCAGGCGCCTGTAGTCCCAGCTACTCGGGAGGCTGAGGTAGGAGAATGACGTAAACCCGGGAGGCGGAGCTTGCAGTGAGCTGAGATCTGGCCACTGCACTCCAGCCTGGGCGACAGAGCGAGACTAAAAAAAAAGAAAAAAAAAAAAGACCCTTTGTTTATCCTCTCCACCTCTCCAGAGGAAAAAGCTCTCATCTTTTGCTGGGATTGGAAAGGAGCAGTCACCTAGCTACGCAGGATTGTAGTGAAGTTCTGGAACTCCATCTGCTTCTTAACAGAGTTTCAAGTATCTTTCTGCTTTTAACCCTTTTTTATTTTTACATCCAGAGGTGTCTAGTTGCTTCATGACTTTTCATTTCTATTGCTGCCTTATGGGTCAACCCTCTCTGATATGCTAGAATGCTGTCACTTGTTTACCTGCTTTCCAGAGTCGCAGATTTTACTGTGGTCACCTTCCCTGGTCTTAATGCCTCTTACATTGTATCCTTTCACTATCATTTTAATGGGGTTTGTGGAGTAAGCACAGGTAAATGTATATTATCAAGTCTTACTATGGATTACCCATAAAAAAGTTTACTTACTGGGTAATAGCCAAATTAACTATCTGATTACATGTAAATTGAAAGCTAAGGTAAGGTATCTATATTTACAGTTCTATAAATTTTAACTGCCTAAAAGATAAAATAAAAATAGTCAAAAATTTTGATAATTTAACTTCACGAAAAAAAGTTATGGTATTTAAATTCTCTGAAAGAACATCTATATTCCAGTGGTGCCATATTAAATTATACACATTTTCTTTTTTTTTTCTTTTTTTCTTTTTTTTTTGAGACGGAGTCTCACTGTGTCGCCCAGGCTGGAGTGCAGTGGCGCGATCTCGGCTCACTGCAAGCTCTGCCTCCCGGGCTTACGCCATTCTCCTGCCTCAGCCTCCCGAGTAGCTGGGAGCTAGTTTTTTGTATTTTTTAGTAGAGACGGGGTTTCACCGTGTTCGCCAGGATGGTCTCGATCTCCTGACCTCGTGATCCGCCCGTCTCGGCCTCCCAAAGTGCTGGGATTACAAGCTTGAGCCACCGTGCCCGGCCACACATTTTCTTTTCTTAGACTAACTACCTATTTTTATACCCACAAACAAGAAAGGTAATTTACTAACCTCTGCTTCTGTTGCTTGGGACTGTAAAAGCTGTCGTATACGAAGTATGTCCTTTTCGATTTGCTGAATTCTGGCTATTCTTCGCTAAAATAAAACAAGAAACCTAATTAGTTATGTTTTTATTAATAATGTTAATATAAATAATCATACTATGGCTACCATTTAACAGCTTAGGGTTATGCCAAACCATTCTTATTTAAAAAGCCAGACATATAAATATATTCACCCTTTAATAACAAATTGGGTTCAGTTCAATTTTTCTTTTCTTTTTCCTTTTTTTCTCGAGACAGAGTCTCACTCTGTTGCCCAGGCTGGAGTGCAGTGGCACGATCTCAGTTCACTGCAACCTCTGCTTTCTGGGTTCAGCGATTCTTCTGCCTCAGCCTCCCACATAGCTGGGACTACAGGCACACGCCACCATGCCCAGTTAATTTTTGTATTTTTAGTAGACATGGGGTTTCACCATATTGGCCAGGCTGGTCTCGAACTCCTGGCCTTGTGATCCGCCTGCCTCAGCCTCCCAAAGTGCTTACAGGCGTGAGCCACTGTGCCTGGCCCTAGGGTCAGTTCAATTTTTAAAAATATATCTGACTTTATTCAACAGATCTCTAGATCTGCTTAGTAAAACTGTGGAAATACAAGTCATATATCAAATCGTATGTTGCATGAATTATGAAAATTGACGCAATACACATTGTGAAAATTTTTTCTTCAAAAATATTTCAGCAAAGAAAAAATTACACCTGCATTTAATCTTTTATATTAATCCAGACATTAATACAATATAATAAATTTATATAAACATAGTATACCAGTAAAGGGAAACAACATCTGATTTGTTTTAATAAACATCAGGATACCCAACCTTTTTGGCACCAGGGACTGGTTTCATGGAAGAAATTTTTCTACTGACTGGGGCGGGGGAGGTCTCAGGATAAAATTGCTCCACCTCAGGTTCTCAGGCATTACATAGATTCTCATGAGGAGCCCGCAACCTAGATTCCTCACACGTGCCGTTCACAAGCGAGTTCATGCTCCTAATGCAGCCACTGATGGTGACAGGAGGCAGGGCTCAGGTGGTAATGCTTGCTCGTGGCCTGGGGGTTGGGGACCCGTGGTTTAAACAGTAGGCCCAACTCTTCCCCAAAGTTACTTCTGTCATAAGTTAGTAGTATTTTTCAGCCTTTCCAAGTACCTAACTGTGGCTAAACATTATTTTTATCTCCAACACTAGGATCAAAAAGAGGACAGAGCTTTTGCTTTTCCACTATATGGAAACCATCAAGTGGCCACAAAGCAGTAACTACAGACTGAACCACATGGAATGGAAACAATGTGGGGAATATGTTGTGTGTTTTTTTATAAAGCTAAACTTCATTTTAACTTTTATGAATACTAGTGAAAGTGGAAAAAACAAGTCACTTATGAATAAAGACTTTGCAAATCTCTCATAAAGCTAGTTTATGACAAATCAAACACATAGGTTTTAAAAACAAGTAATGACAATGTACCATTTTCTGTAATAATTCTACAGTTATTGACATCCTAATATTGAGAAATCAAAAATTATATTATAAAAGTAAACTGTTTCAATAAGGAGGGGTGTGTGTCAGAAGCTAGATGGAATAGTTTCCAAACATTTTTCAGTTATGTTCTCCATCAATAAAAGATTTCGGAACAAACATCACCCCCAACAGATAAATATTAAAAGTACTATAGCAATTAGCTTTAAATATATAGTTATAAAATGTTCATATGAAACTTACTCTTTGATCACATCTAGTTTTACTTAAATATAATGCCTTCATGCTTTTCTTACTACCATAGTAAAAATGTTTATTACTATTATCCAGCCTTATGAAAAACAAAGAACAGAAAAACTCAAATTTTAAGTTGTGCTCACTGGCCGGGCGCGGTGGCTCACGCCTGCAATCCCAGCACTTCAGGAGGCCGAGGCGGATGAATCACTGGTCAGAAGATCGAGACCACCTTGGCCAACACAGTGAAATCCCGTCTCTACTTAAAAAAAAAAAAAATTAGCCGGGTATGGTGGTGCGTGCCTGTAATCCCAGCTACTCAGGAGGCTGAGGCAGGAGAATCGCTTGAACCCAGCAGGCGGAGGCTGCAGTGAGCCAAGATCGTGCCACTGCACTCCAGCCTGGGCGAGAGTGAGACTCTGTCTCAAAACAAAAACAAACCCCCAAAAATAAAAAATAAAACAAGAAGCTGTGCTCACTGTCCCAAATTAATCTATCTTAATTTTCTCCCTCTTTTCTTTCTTTTTAACAATATAACTATGCCGATTCTCTATCATGATTCTGAAAGTAGTAAACTTAAGGTAAAAAATATTCTCAAGCCAGGCACCATGGCTCTGGCCTGTAATCCCGGCACACTGGGAGGCCAAGGTGGGCAGATTGCTTAAGCTCAGGAGTTTGAGACCAGCCTAGGGAATATGGTGAAACCTTGTCTCTACAAAAAATACAAAAATTCGCCAGCCATGAGGGCATGCGCCTGTAGTCCCAGCGACTTGGGAAGCTGAGGAGGGAGGATGGCTTGAGCCTGGGAGGCGGAGGTTGCAGTGAGCTGATATTGCGCCACTGCCCTCCAGTTTGGGAGACAGAGCCAGACTCAAAAAAATAGAAAAAAAAAAAAAAAAAGAATATTCTTTAATTAACAAATCTTCCCATGTCCAATTCATAGTATGAAAACCGTCTGAAGAAGAAATACCTGTACTTTTGGTAGTTTTCTAAAGATATTGCAAAGATGAATGATCATTTCTATAACCAGGTGGCAAATACTTCCTAGCTTCAGAGAAAGAGCCAAGCTACATACAATTACTGAATTTCTAAATTGGATTGTCTCCTCTCTTTCTATATAATCAGTTTCTATATAATTAGCTCCCTTCCATCAATACAGTCCTAAATAAAAAATTTTAATATTTAGAGAATGAAAACAGGAAATTATATCTCCTACTCCTCTCCATTTTACACTACATTTCCATATTGCCAGTATCTCACTAAATACTGAGGTCATGTCTATGTCTTGATGTCCAGTGAGGTGGATGGTTTCTGACATGACATTCCTTGTGCTTCTGTTTCTAATATGAAAATAGAAGAAGCCACTACACCTTGAGTATTCCTAATCCCTATCCCTAATACAAAAATCCAAAACCCAAAATGCTCCAAAATAGGAAACTTTTGGAGCACCCACATGGCGCTCAAAGGAAATGCTCACTGCAGCACTTCACGATTTGGATTTTTGGATTAGGGATGCTTAACCACTAAGTATTTCTTTCCTTTTTCTATATGACAAGAATATTTATGAAATTATGTTTAACAACAAACTGTTCAGGAGTATGGACTTGATATGACTTTAGAAAAAAGCGGTTCTTTAAAAACTTCAATAGTAACACAGATTCAGGATGACTCTCCACAAATTAGAATAGAAGGCAAATCCCTTAACTTGATAAAGGGCACGTATCAAAAACCCTGAGTAAACAACACACTTAACTGTGGAAATTTTAAAAGAATTCCCTTTAAAGTCAAGACAAGAAAAAGAAGACCACTATCATTGTTTCCATTCAAAGATATATTAGAGTTCTTAATACAACAAAAGTAAAAACACTGTAAGGACTGGAAAGGATAAACAATGTCATCATTTGCGAACAATATGGCAATGTATAGAACCTTAAACCGGCGATGATATAATAAAATATTTCAGGAAGACTACTGGATACTTTTTACTTAAATGTAATTTAGTAATATAATTAAAGAAATTCCCACTTACAATACCAACAAAAACTGTAACATATCTACGAATAATTTTTTTAAATGATATGTAAGACCCCTGTGGAGAATTTGATAAAACGTTATTGAAGGATACAAAATAAAGCCTAAATGAATAAAGAGATATAAAATTAATAACAATACCTAATAATTTGTTTACTATGTGCCAGGTTCTCAGTGCTTTTACATATATCAACTCATTTAATCCTCACATTTTACAGTTTATCAATATGTGTATTGTACTGACAAGAAAACTGAGACAGAGAATTTACCTAGGATCACAGTCTTGCTAAGTGACAGGTTTGGGATTTGAATATAGAAGGTTTGGTTCCAGAGTCCATCCTTTCAACCAAGACTAAATAGTATGAAGGTCTGATTTCTCCTTAATCTATAAATTTAATGTAATTCTAATCAAAAGCCCATGAAGCTTTTATTTGAATTAGAAGCTGACATAAAAGTTAAAATGGCAGAGTAATAAGGCAGAATACTACATTTTTAAAAACAAAGAAGGATTCACCCAACTGGGTATCAAGATTTATAAAACTGCAGCAAATAAAAAATGTGGTATCAGTGCAGGCACGGAGAAGCTAAAGTGGACTAACAGAAGAGAGTCCAGAAATATCCAGCATATATAAACTTGATATATGATGAGAGATGACATCACTCATCGATGAGGAACTAGTGCGGTATCCAATACATGATAATGAGAAATTCAGTTAACAACATAAATATATGTATACATGTGTGTGTATGACTATACATAACTATAGATACACACATGTATAAATCAAGTGTATGTAAATAAATATGTATTAATATATAATACACATACACACATATATAATATACATATAAGTTAGACTCCTGCCTCCACAACATACATAATAGCAAACTTAAGATGAATTAAGGAGCAAATACAAGATTACCTTTATGACTTCAGTATAGGAAAAGATGTATAAATAGGTCACAGAAAGCACAAATCTGGCAATATAATTAATTGAGCTTTATTATAAAAGCTTATTTTTGTTATCATGAGGCCAATACAGATAACAATTGGTGGGGAGGAATTGAGATATATATTATCTACAAAGGATTGGTATCAAGGGGATATTAAAACATCTCTCAAACACATGAAAACAAGACATTTAACAATAGGGAATGATCAAGGGATACGAAGAAGTAACTTAGAAAGAAAACCCCAAAATCTAATAAATATATTCGAGATTCAACTTCAGTAGCTCAGGAAAATACGAAGGTTAAGATGACAAAATGTTTCATTGCCCACTGATTGTTAATTAT